ACTGGAGGTCATTAGTCGTGTAGACATTCACAACAACGGATAGAAAATACATCGAAGATGACAAGGTGTTATTTAGCGCATCACATAGTGGTGATATCGGATATACGCGATCCTGGCTGTGAACGTGACTGTTGATGCTGAGGGGTCATATGTGGTATGCATTTCATCATTAGAAGGTTCGTATCTAGTCACCATTGACAACGAGTTGTATCATTAATCATAATTTTTAAATAATGTATCATTAAAATCCTCATAAAAGACTATAAGTTAGAAGCTTAATCATTACCATATGACTTTTTGCCTGAGTCTTTTTTTATGCTTATAATATGGTCGGGATCCTTAAATGGACTCTCGAAAAGGGTTTCTGTTGTTGATAAAAGACCTTTTTATTGACAATGTTTGAATAACTATAACATTGGTTTGTTTTCATATATGTGCGCCCGCCTCAGTGGTCTAGTGATAGAGCGTCCGCCCGGAGAGCCGAAGGTCCGGGGTTCGATCCCCGGCCGCGTCATACCAAAAGACGTTAAAAGATGATACCTTGTGTTACCCTGTCTAGCGCTCGGCATTAAGGGGCTTTAACAAGGACTGGTCGGCTCGGAGTCAGTATACTGTATCTGAGTGGGGTATTCCTGTTAAACTGCGGCATGGTATCTCAGTGAGCTAGCACTATAAATCGGCATCAGTCCGGACTAGTACAAGCAGCCACACAAACACATACGCGCGTACATGCATGTCGCTATATAAGTGCAATAATCTTGGGCGCGACGTTAAACCCCCTTTTTTTCTCCTCACCGGACTAGTACAAACAGCCACACAAACACACACACACACGTACATGCACGTCACGTACACGTGCAATGGTTATAATGGGTGAATGATACATGCAAGTTCACGTTTAGACAGTACATGGTGTATACACGTAGCCAGGTACTGTAGAAGCTGTCCTATTTGTAATGTGTTGGGGTCGTGATCCACCGGCGTGGCCTTTTGGACGAAACAGTGCCTGACATTTAACCAGCTAAATAAATTTAAAAAATGAATTTTACTAGACAAACAATCACCTGTAATGTAGGTCAGGTTTTACAACAACCCTTTCTGGTCCGCTCGAACTGGCACATTTCCCAGATTAGGTTGGTTGGTTGGTTTGTTGTTTAACGCCGCACTCGGCAATATGCCAGCTATATGACGGCGGTCTGTAAATAATGGAGTCTGGACGAGACAATCCAGTGATTAATATCATGAGTATCGATCCACGGACTTGGGATCGATGACATGTATCAACCAAGTCAGCGAGCCTGACCACCCGATCCCGTTAGTCGCCTTTTACGACAAGCATAGTCGTAATTTATGGCCAACCTTGGTCGCTGAAGACCTATTCTACCCCGGATCTTCACGGGTCTTCCCAGATTAGGAAATGCTCATAAAATTCATACCAATTGGTTGAGTGTAAAAGTGTTCAATGCTACAGCAGGCTGAGAGATCCATCGCCACACCACATCATTTCCTTCATCATTTCGCCACACCACATCATTTCGTTTATTTCATTTGCTTCCACCATAGCAAATGAATATAGTATCACTATTTGAATTTATAAAAACGTTATTGTATTTATTATTTATTTCATATGATGTTTTGTGTCTATGAATGGCTGTAACCTCAAAATATATCACATCTATATAGATAAAAAGTAATATGTCATCTTGTCCAGAAGTATGTTAAAGCAATTAATTTACTGATTCAATTTGGCAATTAGTTTCAGTGTTTGATTTAATTCCCACGTGGCCAATGTACATCCCCATTGTGTACACGCCCAAACAAACCCTCATCAATTCGTTTCATTTCTACATCGTGATTAAAATATTAGTGCAACAGCCTTCAAATCCATGCTTGATTTTATCGAAAACATTATTTCGTGCTTAATCTTGTAATAAATGTAATAACAAAACATATGTAACGGACACGGAAGATCAACCATGCCTTGTAAGATCGGTCTGGTAATTACAACAATATGAGGAGGGGAGTGAGAGTGTGTGGCTTTTGTGTAGCTCTTCTGCACCCGCTCAGCAAGCTAACCATGCACGTGGCGCACAGGTATACGTTACCCGCTGTTGTGCAAACAGCGCCCTCTAGCACCATCTCACCTGCGTGCACTGCTGCAGCAGATGGGTTTGATCAGGCCAAGAGTGCGAACTGATTAAACTGGTTGCCTGGTTCATATGCGCAGCTTGCTTTGCTTTTCATATCTGGTAGACAGGATCACAGTATGGACCTACATGTGAGTAGGATTTTTACACGGTTTAAGCACTATCCCAGTCATATCATAGGGAAGACACAAAATGAGCGGGAAATCGAACCCGCTTTTTTGGAGTGACGAGTGAACGCTTTAACCACTAAGCTCCCCCATTGCAAGACTCATCTCATCTCAGAGCGTTGGAGAATTTCCATACCCTAACAAAACGCGAATATACTACTCAAAAATAGTTAAGAACCACCCGATTCTTTCACATTACTGTAGTTAATCTGTCATGGCGTGACAAAATATCTACCACTCAAAAGGAGTTAAGGACCACCGATTCTTTGAGTTTACTGTAGTTAATCTATATCGTCGGACAAAAAATGGGACGAAGTTAAGGATTCTTTCTTATTACAGTAACTAAAGTCAATATTTCAGGCCATGATAGATTGACTACAGTAACATGAAAGAATCGGTGGTCCTTAGCGTCTTATGTTTTAGCTTGGTAACTTAGACTTGACTCTCAACAAGAGAGTTCCTTTCTTTGACGTACAATTAGAGTAGGTGAATTACTACTCGTTAGCATGTCAATAGCCTGTAACTGAATTAGTCCCAGATTAGTAATGTTTTGCGTGGACATAATACACGGATGTGATTGAAGACCCGCTTCGGAGAAATGTATCGAGCGAGTGTGATCATTTCATAATAAACTTTCGTTAATTTTGCGTGAGCTATTTTGGGCTTATGACTTTGTAAAGGATACTTAGAAATGGGAAATTAATATGCAATTACTCGGGAATATTCTACCTTGTCGCGATTCATAACTGTCATTTGTATTAATGATTTCAGCTCAGTGTAGAGATGGCATTAGCTGTAAGGCACGGGGCCATTTGAGCCACTGGACCACAAGAGTCATTCAAGCATATTCAAAGGTTTTACCTTGAAGAAAAATCGTTTATTCTATTTTTATTTTTTCCTTTACATCTTGAACAGTTCTGAGACAGTGGTATAGTTTCATATTCCTGATTGTCTCAATGCCCTGTTTACAGTGGAGTCGCGTTAATCCGGACTATTGTTACCACTGCAGTGTCCGGATTAACAGGGTCCTAATAATGAAACATTGGTGTCATAGTTTCTTTCTTTGTTTGTTTGTTATATAGCGCCCCGCTCATCAATATTCCAGCTATATGATTGACATTCATGGTCTGACAATCCAGTGATTGACATCATGAGCATCATCTACTCAATTTGAATATAATAACATGCATAAGCCAAGTCAGCGAGCCTGACCACCGATGCCGTTAATGGTATGATCTTTTCTGTTGGTTCCCAGACCATACAGGTTAAAACAAACGATGTACCAATCGAGACTGTAATCAAGATAATGTGCTATGATATGGTGATGCATTTATGAATGTTAATCACGATGCGATGCAGGAACTACACCAAGCATAGCAATAGCCTTATGAATGATTCACTCGGTTATATGTGATCATCCGGCAGTGTTATGGATGCGTTCTTTCACACATGCTATTAATATTACATTTTTCAATAACGACATAAGTGCATATACTTCCTTCTACACCGTGATGACGTGAAAGGTCACCGCGTGTAAATGTACAATTAATAGTGCTGAGATCACACGTGGCATTAATTACATAGTCGGCGGTCCTGTACAGAGACACCTCTATTGAATCCCGGAGTTCTATTCTCAAAAGGGGAACAATGTGTGAAGCCCATTTCCGGTGTCCCCCGACGTGTAATTGCTTGAATATTGCTAAAAACGGCGTAAAACCATACTCACTCACGTTTTTGTTAGATGGCCTTTTTATCTTTTCGTTGAGCAGCTTAAAGTGAGTGAATGATTGAATATGGTTTTACGCCGCAATTTTGAAGCTGTATCACGGCATGGGACACCAGAATTGTTTGGAATCAAACCCGGATCTCGGCCTGAACGCTTTAACCACTAGGCCAACCCACCACCCGTGCATTTCATAGTGGGTACTATTAATGTAAAAGCGTGTTAAATTTAGTTTCCTTAAAACTTCATATATTTCCATTTGTTATAACACATGTGGGGCGGTTGGGTAGCCTTGCGGTTAGAGCGCTCGCCCGTCACGCCGAAGACCCGGGTTCGATTCCCGACGTGGGTAGTATGTGTGAAGCCCATTTCTGGTGTCCCCCGCCGTGATATTGCTGGAATGGTGCTAAAGGCGGCGTAAAACCATACTCACTCACACACAATAATACGTGTTTTTCTTACATACGTGTTCCATTAAAGTCTTAGGGTTTTTTTCACGATTTAAACGATTTCTCCATTTCTGAAACCCTTCCGTATTATCATGAACGCATTCATGAATAAAATACAGAAATTAAGCTCGATTAATGACAAAGTGCGTGAGATAATACACGGCGTTAAACCCATTAGGTAATATTACTCCGACAGGTCACATGATGTATCTTTTGTCGCCGTTCAAACAGATGCTCAGTAGCTTGAAGGTCAGCATCATTACATTGGGTAACATGGAAGCCGATATTTAAGTGTGCACAGAGATATCTCATACATGCGTATAAGAAAAGGAAGACGTGGTATTCAGATTCAAGTCCGGCGCTGTATAGCTCTACTGCTACCGCTGAAATGCCACGGTAGAACGCAACCGGTGTTGAACAACGGCCAATATGACGACTAATCTCCGTTACAGCACTCCACAAGAATACCCCGTGTAAAGGTACTAGAGTTATGCTAATTTAGGTTACCTCTACCACATGCCTCCACAGCGGTTCTTACGCTAGGCTGGGACTGCACCTCACACGCCCTGAGTTCTTGACAAGTATATTCCTAGCTGTTTTCCAGTTATTATTAGTCGAAGTCGGAGAATAGCCTCACTTTACATTGTCAGAGCGTCCATCCTTCAAGAACTTCCATGAGTGGTATCTAATTCCTCCAAGGCTTCCGAGCTGTCGGTGTGTCTGTTTAAGTGCTGTTTCCTGAAGGGAATATTGTCTTTCAAAGGAGTGTTAAGTGTTTCTACACGTCTTTTTATGTGAGCGGAGCTTCAAACCCTACCCAACCCAAAGGATGGCCTCGCGGTGCATATTCTGTATGCAATGGTGTGTATTCCAATGTAGCGTACATGCATAACATGACTTCTACAAGCAGAATGGCAATTACCTCATTGGTGTGATGTAGACGGCAGTGTGTTGCCTCTGTCTTGATATGATTTGATAAAACTAGGAAAACATTCGCAGATGGGGAACTATAAAATGCGCCATTTGCTTCCTAATCAACTCAGTGCAAAACGGAAAGAGAGATTGTGTGTCTTGATTTCAAGTAGTTTTTCTTCCTTTCCAGATGCGAAACCCGACATAGTGGCCTCCCCGTTATTGGAGACTGGTGTTTGTATCACTGTGAGGTAAGGTACGTTCAACTAAAATATGTCTTTTAATCTTTTTTAAGTAGATTTCATGTTAAATGTCAACTTTTCATTGATGGTCATGTGGTATCCAAGATCGAATGTCTAGATTACGTACTACTTAACCAACGATGCTTTAACTTCAACTGCCGTATTTTACTGCCGAGATATGTAGATTATTCACTGATATTATTGGTCTTGAAACTATGTATCCCGGCAGAACACCTTCTGCAACATCAAGATGCTGCACCCAGTGAGATGCTGTTACACGGTGCTTGTGTACTAGCCAATGGTGGCACGGTAGCATCCACTGGAACATCCAGGGATGCGTGTGTGGCTGTGGCGGAGTTTGTGGATGGTGACGGATGCAGGGGTGCACACCCTCTTCTTAAGACCTGAGTATCTACCTGTTTCATTCCCCTATCATGTGGCTCGTGACTTGGGTGGCGTGCACCACCGCCACCACCCTTCCCTGTCCCCTGTCCCCTGTCCCCTGCCCCCTGTCCCCTGTCCCCTGTCCCCTGCCCCCTGTCCCCTGTCCCCTGCCCCCTGCCCCCTGGTTCTTGTAGCATACAAGTTGCAGTGCTCCCATACAAGGCGATGCTCTTGTTGTTTATGATATAACTACAGGAAACAATGTTCCTTGCCCCAGGAATAACAAAAACATTGACCCAATATTTGAATATATTGCGGTATGGGTGAGTGTATTTAATTTCAATATTACGTGAAATCTCTTTCGTCCAGGCGGTACCAGTCGCTGAGATATAATCTGGATAAGCCAATTCTTTAGATTAACAGATCTTTAGTTCGGAAGTTCTTTGTATATCTTTAGACTTTCCTTACTTGAGTATACGTCCGTAAATCGATGTTTCCGAACTAACGGGAGTCCACTGTTCAGAGGTGTATATAGTTCATGTGCATGGTGGCTCCATCTCATACATTTAGATCTCGACAGTAATATGACAAACTATGTTGTAGTAATTAAGTGACAGTTTAATAAATGCTATTGATTTACGTTATAGCAGGCACAACTGCTCTTTTATCAAACAGAACTATTTCAAGGAAAATTCAATTATGTCCTTTGAGGAAATCGACAGAATATTACGACAGGCCCTATTCCGTTCTATGGTGAATGAAAAAGATTTCTTTAGGTCCGGGTTTATTGATAACGCGTTGGAGAACGGTGTTGCACGTGTCTCGAGACACCGGATCTAGATCTGACAAAGACGATACGCCTTTCTTGCTGCGTATGTGTTAATGTCATCAGCACTGGGGAAGAATGTGGAATGTGCTGAAAATAGCCGAATTATTGTGGAGATATTATCAATGTGTGGACCATCACCCTCATTCTAGTGCTACATATGACAACGTGGCCATGACCAGATGGGCCATGCGGTCAGCGATCTGTTTAGCATGCAATTCGGTCAGTGACCTGAATCTTGTATAGAACCTGTAATAAAATGGGCCCTGGTGACTCCGGACACATGATTTCACGAATCGTACATCGGAACCCTTTTAATCCGGAAACTTAATATTCCAAACAAATACAGAGTTGAATACTCCCCAGGGAGCTGAGAATGAAAATCCAGTGCACACTGATCCATTGACCGGGATAATAATATTGCGTTTTGAGCTTCCTTTAGGGTGTGGACTTTTTACATTTACGTCTATATGAGTTTACTATTTAGAAAGTTTTGCACTCATTCATTTTGAGCAGTTTATCCGGGATCCGTTTATGGTTTATCAGGACCTCATCATAATTAACATGAGCATAGATCTACGCACCTGGGATACGGTGACATCCATCAGCGAGCCTGACCACCCGATCATAATAGTCGCCTCTGGTCCAGGGTTCGATCCCGGGCCGCGTCATACAAAAAGACGTTAAAAGATTGTACTTGTTGTTACCCTGTCTGGCGCTCGGCATTAAGGGGCTAAAACAAGGAATGGTCGGCTCGGAGTCAGTATACTGTGTCTGAGCAGGGAATTCATGTTAAACTGCGGCATGGTATCTCAGTGAGCTAGCACTATAAATCGGCATCAGTCCGGACTAGTACAAGCAGCCACACACACACATACACGTGCATGCACGTCGCTATATAAGTGCAATTATCTTGGACGCGACGTTAAACCCAATTTCACCTCACCTCAGGCACAATATAATAATAATTAAATAAATGGAGTAAGATTGAACACAGTTTTAATATATATATAATATTTTTTTATATATTACCTCCACACTTAACTTACCTTCGTGCAAAAATGGGGCGGTGGGGTAGCTCAGTGGTTTAAGCGTTCGCTCGTCACGCCGAAGACCTGGGTTGGATTCAGCCCATTTCTATTGTCCTCCGTCGTGATATTGCTGGAATATTGCTAAAATCAGCGTAAAACCATACTCACTCAATTATGTAAAATAAACCTGGTGGATATATCCCGGGGATATCAGGAAACAACATATTGTTCAAAAGCGCACGGGAAAATAAACTATGTAGACATCACACTATTCGGGAGGTTTCGTGTAGCCTGTCACTGATCTTCTGTGTTTCGTTTTAAAAAAATTAACAGTTCAAAGTTCAATGACTTAACTTAACGGGGTTTTTATGTCACCGCTTGTGATTATTATAGTATATTCAGTACATGAATGTAATAACGATATAGAACACACATGGTTTAGAAAAAAAACTACCAAATGAATGTTTTCTACCGCTCTTTCAGATGCATTTGATAGACTTAATTACATCCTTACAGAAACGGCCGCCTCCGTGGTCTTGTGGTAGAGCGTCCGCCCGGAGAGCGGAAGGTCCGGGGTTCGATCCCCGGCCGCGTCATTTCAAAAGACGTTAAAAGATGGTACTTGTTGTTACCCTGTCTGGCGCTCGGCATTAAGGGGCTAAAACAAGGAATGGTCGGCTCGGAGTCAGTATACTGTGTCTGAGCAGGGAATTCATGTTAAACTGCGGCATGGTATCTCAGTGAGCTAGCACTATAAATCGGCATCAGTCCGGACTAGTACAAGCAGCCACACACACACATACACGTGCATGCACGTCGCTATATAAGTGCAATTATCTTGGACGCGACGTTAAACCCAATTTCACCTCACCTCAGGCACAATATAATAATAATTAAATAAATGGAGTAAGATTGAACACAGTTTTAATATATATATAATATTTTTTTTATATATTACCTCCACACTTAACTTACCTTCGTGCAAAAATGGGGCGGTGGGGTAGCTCAGTGGTTTAAGCGTTCGCTCGTCACGCCGAAGACCTGGGTTGGATTCAGCCCATTTCTATTGTCCTAAGTCGTGATATTGCTGGCATATTGCTAAAATCAGCGTAAAACCATACTCACTCAATTATGTAAAATAAACCTAGTGGATATATACCGGGGATATCAGGAAACAACACATTGTTAAAAAGCGCACGGGAAAATAAACTATGTAGACATCACACTATTGGGGAGGTTTCATGTAGCCTGTTAGTCTGTCTTACAGACCCTGATACAAATATATATCGAATACAGCCCATGCAAGTCTATAATGTTTGGCAAGTCTAGATCACTGCAGTATTAGGAAATCTGATATCTGAAAATGAAGAGAGTCACTGGGCTCCTTTTTATTATATTTTTTATTAAGATAACTGAACAACTGTTTTTTTTATGTACGATATGTTCATTTCAGAGACTAGATTTTAGTCTAGTAGCCTGTCACTGATCTTCAGTGTTTCGTTTGTTAAACTTAACAGTCCAAAGTTCAATGACTTTACTTAACGGGTTTTTTATGTCACCGCTTGTGATTATTAAAGTATATTCAGTACATGAATGTAATAACGATATAGAACACACATGGTTTAGAAAAAAAACTACCAAATGAATGTTTTCTACCGCTCTTTCAGATACATTTGATAGACTTAATTACATCCTTACAGAAACGGCCGCCTCCGTGGTCTTGTGGTAGAGCGTCCGCCCGGAGAGCGGAAGGTCCGGGGTTCGATCCCCGGCCGCGTCATATCAAAAGACGTTAAAAGATGGTATTTGTTGTTACCCTGTCTGGCGCTCGACATTAAGGGGCTAAAACAAGGACTGGTCGGCTCGGAGTCAGTATACTGTGTCTGAGTGGGGTATTCATGTTAAACTGCGGCATGGTATCTCAGTGAGCTAGCACTATAAATCGGCATCAGTCCGGACTAGCACAAGCAGCCACACAAACACACACACGTACATGCACGTCGCTATATAAGTGCAATAATCTTGGACGCGACGTAAAACTCAATTTCACCTCACCTTACAGAAACTCTCCAGCTCACAGACCTGGCTACACTATGGCCACCATTGCATACTACTCAAACGTCGTTAGGGGCACCCGATTCTTTCATATTTCCATAGCTAATCTGTCATGACAGTTCACGTTTCACGTCCAACACCATGTCATGCAATGACAGATTAACTATTGTAATATGAAAGAATCGGGTCGTCCTCAACTTCTTTTGAGTAGGATATTATCACGAATACATGAAAATTGTTTGGAATACCGATTGTACAACCCTTTATTATATTCAATATGCATCCGCTCTTTCTATTGGCAATCTATTCGTAACATGGCAATAACTTTACTTTTGGAGACAATATGGCAATATCTCGGATAGAGCAAACCTCCACCCCCACCCCCACACACCTCATATCCGCCCCGCCCTGCACTTCATCCTGTGCTTCAACAGTTGTGCACATTTGGAATCACGCCTGTTGTGAATGTCTTCAGAACTTTTTGTCAAAGCTCGCACTTTTTAAGATATTATGAGCTTGTTTGTTTCTTTAAATACCTGAGTTGTTGCGCAGCGTTGGGCTGTCTAATGAGGTTATTTTGAAGGTGAGCGCTCGGTGGGAGTGCGTCGTTATCGTGAGTAGGACGAGATACATCATGTCAAATTACATAGACTGGGGAGCCAATCTCGTCATCAATGCCGGTAACGGTATGGGTTCATCGCTCCTCTAACTAAACAAT